AGCTATGCTCTCAAAATCAGGGGAGTATGGGATGGATGTGGTGAACGGTATGATAGACGCGCGTTACAGACCTGATAAGTTTGCTTTTACCTCATCCAAGATCTGATCCACTATGCAGAAAATGATACAACTCGTAAAACTATAAACAAAAACAAGATCACTGTGAATGCCATGACATCATCTTTTCAGACGATGTCAACTTCAAAATGGAAACCTAAACTGACAAACTCTTATCCTGCGACTTTGTCTTACTCACCTTCAGCCAGTACACCAACATCTTATCAAACCCCTCATCATAAACAATTTGAGTTGAACAGACCACCACCACCATCTTTATTTCCTGATACTAAAAAATGTGATGTGATCAAGAAACAACCAATCAAACCACCAAGATCAGCACGTGAAGAAGTGCACAAGGGTATTTGGCAATGTTTTCACTGCAAGGAATTGGGACACCCAAGACCAGCTGTCCCACCTTTGCTAGATTTCAATCACATACCGCTCCACACTTCAACGACTGGGTAATGTGTACAAACTGTATCTTTTGTACTAGAAAAGCAGTTTGTGGCTCAGCCACTCACAGACAACCCTGTGCCAGCAACACAACGCGCCGCAGCACACGCGTTTTTTGATGTGTTGCTCCGCAACACGCAACACCAACAAGCAGCAGATGCTGCGTTGCGGGAAGTACCGCAACAACAAAAGTCAAGGCTAGGCTGCGCGGCGCCTCAACAGTTGCGCAATGCAACAGGCGCAACAGCGCCAAAAAAACGTCAATTTGTAAGTTTTTGGGGACATCAACGCAACAAATCTTGTTGCGGCCCAAAACAAACACTAATATGATGAGAGAATCCAAGGAACTCGACACCTGGTAAAAGCCAGTAAACGGGCTAAGTCCTTCTGGTTCTGAACACCAAGGACAACAATACTACACACCTGGTAAAAGCCAGTAAACGGGCTAAGTCCTTCTGGTTCTGAACACCAAGGACAACAATACTACACACCTATTAAAGGTGAGAGGGACAAGATTCAATACGCCTAATTTTCCTCAGTGGACTGATGATTTCATTGATCATAACTTAAACAACAGACCTGGTAAAAGCCAGTAAACGGGCTAAGTCCTTCTGGTTCTGAACACCAAGGACAACAATACTACACACCTATTAAAGGTGAGAGGGACAAGATTCAATCTATACAAAAGGAGATGACAGAAACAAGAACAATTGATGAATAAGGTTGATATGAATGAATTGAATATAATGTTAGAGAAAAGAACTCACACGCCTAATTTTCCTCAGTGGACTGATGAGGAAAAAGAGGCGTGCGCGAAGTGGCAATCAGTATGAACTAAGTTGAGTGATACAATGATGATACAGCTAAATTGTAATTAGGTTTGAGGTTTTGTATCGGTGAATTTGTATTGGTGATCATATTGTATCGGTGACTGTATGGTTTTGGTGAGGTATGTGTTTGTCGTGATTGAAATAAATGATATATCTTGACACACCCCCTCAAGCACGACAAACAAATCAGCATATCATGGTATAGTATGTAAATATAGAAGAAAGAAAAAAAAAAAAAAAAAAAAAATAAGAGAGAA